GGCGGGGCGTGGGCCTGGGCTGCAGGCTGGGGTCCTGAGGGAGGCAAAATGGGGTGGGATTCCGAGACATGGTGGGAATGGGGAACGCTGGCGATCCGATCCCTGGGCCAAGCACTTCCGATGGAGGTACCACGGAGCACATCAGGCAGGAGTCGGCCCTTGACGTGGGACCTCCCACCTCCCCTCTGGCCCACCTGTCCACCGGATTGTCCCTGTAGCTCCAGGCGCAGAACCCTCGCCACTCAGGCCTGGTTGCCATGGCGACAAAACTCTGCTGGCGGCCTCAGGCTTTTGGGCACCTCTGTGTCAGCAGGAGCACTGGGGACTGTGGTGGGGTGAGCTGCTGGGGCGACACTGGGATCCAGGGCGCGAGGAGACTTCCCTCACCATTGGAGGTGGCAGGGTGGGGGCCCTCCAGCAAGGGAAGGCGCCCCCACTCAAGACCTTATTGGAATTCCAGGCACATCTCTGAAACCACAGCCCCTGGGGACCTCTGTATGGTTCCCAGGTTCCCACGACTCTGCTTTGTGGGGTTAACCTAGGGTGGCAGGAAACAGGCAACAGTCCTTGGACCCGGCTGACAGTCCGGCTCCAGGCCCCACACTGACAGTAGTGACAGGCCTCTTGTCTGGCTTGTCAGAACCTAACATCCCCTCCTGTCAGTGTCTGCGAAATGCCCACCCCCTCCAGTAAGGAACCGAGCAGGGGTCCTAGGGTGAGGGTGGACCCTGGCTGGAGCTTGCATCAAGTCTGGCTCTAGAATCCTGGCTCCCAGAGGGGAGACCCTAAGCCTGCCCCTCCTGCTCCACAGCTGGGATAGAAAGAACAACCCGGAGCCCTGGAACCGCCTGAGCCCCAATGACCAATACAAGGTACTGAAGAGTCGCTCTTTCCTCCTCAGGGCCTGCTCCCACACCTCGCCCACAGGGAAGCAGGGGAGCAGGGGGTGGGGGGGTGCTCAGTGCAACCCTCTTCCCGCTCTCCTTCAGTTCCTTGCAGTTTCCACTGACTATAAGAAGCTGAAGAAGGACCGCCCTGACTTCTAAGCCAGGCTGGGCTGAGTTCAACATAAACCACAGCCAACCACTTCTTCCACTCCTCCGCCCAGACCCCGGGCAGCAGTCTGGCCACCCCATCCAGCTCCTGCTTCCACAGGCCTGTTCCCACGCAGAGGGGGGCAGCTCCACTCCCTCCTCCCTTGTTCCCAGCAGCGGAAGCGCCTCTGACCCCCCTCTGCCTGAGTCCCATGAGGGGGAGGAGTCAGGAGGGCAGGGAGCCATAGAGGTTGACCCAAAAGGCCCAAGCCAGCCCCTCTGCCCTCCTACCCACCCCAGGCGGGCCTCACAGGGTGTGGTGCAGGCTACGTGTTGAGCGTGGCCAACGTGAACCACAGCAAGCAGGGGCCTCTGAGTGCCAAATGACGTGGCTGGCCCCACGTCTGCTCAGGCTCTGGGCGCTGGCCCAGGAGCAGCAATGCTCAGCTCGACTAGACTAGTCACAGGTCGCCCGGCATGTCCAGGTCGGGGCACCTACCCCTCTGGAGACTCAGTGCACCCCTCCCCTGCCCAAGCCTGCTACCTCCCTGCCAGGGCACCACCCTCCACCTCACACCTGGGCCTCCCCTACTGCTCCCTACCCCTCCTCTCCCTTGCTCCCCTCAGTCCCCTGGGATCAAACAGAAGCAGCCGTGGGCAAAATACAATTTCATTTAACAAATTGAATTTGCTGCGCCTGCTAATCACGTCTGGTGTCGGCTCTGATCAGAGACAGAGAGAGGAGGCTGCAGCCCCGGGGGTCCTTGTGGTGGTGGTAGCGGGAGGGAGGAGAGAGGTACACGTTGAGGGAGATGCATCACTGCCTGGCCCAGGGGACCCCTCCCACAGTAAGAAACACAAGGCAGGTTAGCTTTTTATTAGATAAAATCAGGAAGGAGGGTGCCTCCCCACCTTCCTCTGGCTCAGAAGGGTAACTGCCCCCTTCCCAAGAAAGAGGAGTCTATAACACTGAGATCACGGCAGAGGGTTTAGGGCAGAAAGCTCTTCCTTCAATACCTAGTTACCAATAGCTGCAGATGCTGGGAAGAGGGACAGTACCTGGCTCCTGCCCTAAGTGGGAGGCCTTTACGCTTCCCCCCAAAAGTACAAAGACAAGTGTTCCTTCCACTGGCCCAGGGAAGGAGAGAGTGATTTTCAGTTTGTGGCCTCGTTTTCCAGCCTTCAGCGCTCATCAAATCCAGGCATGGGGAAGGCTCTGGCAAACTGCTCTACCCGTTGCCTGAGGTCCGCAAGACGCCGACTTGTTTCAGGGTCCTTGAGCAGGAAGGATTTGAAATCTTGGAGCTTGGCTAGAGAGGGGTGAGGGAAAAAGGTGGTCAGAGCTCTAGGGAAGGTAGAAAGATGAGTGGGCAGGGTAGAGACAGTGAGGGGTAACGGGCTGGTTCTGGGGGTCTTGCCCACTCACCAGTTTTACTCTTCACCTCCAAGCCAATGTTGACCCCTTCATCTATAAAGGCCACAACTCTCCGGAAGTCATCCTCACGGAATTGACGAGAAGTCAAGGCTGGGGCCCCTGGGAGAGAGGAGAAGAGGGAGGATCGGCATAGCCCAAGCCCAGCTGGCAGCCATCCAGTGGCCCTCCCCTCCTTGACAGCGCAGGCTCACCAAGCCGCAGACCCCCAGGTGTGATGGCACTTCGGTCTCCAGGACAGGTGTTCTTGTTGGCAGTGATGGACACGAGCTCTAGCACTCGCTCAGCCCGAGCTCCATCCAGGCCCTTGGGCCGCAGATCCACCAACACCAGATGGTTGTCAGTGCCACCTAAGAGGGAGTAACAGGTGGAAGTGGAGAGTCTTGGGCCCCTGCCTGAGGCTACAGAGGCCCTCACCCATGTCCCCGGCTTACCAGACACCAGAGAGTAGCCTCGCTCTAGCAGGGCCTCAGCCATGGCCTGAGCATTCTTCAGGACCTGCAGGGAGTACTCCCGGAACATGGGGGTGCAGGCCTGGAGATGGGACAGCAGCATCTGTGACCTCAGGCCTAGATCTAAGCCCTGCCCTACCCTCCACCCCGGCATAGCTCTATGACCCCAGTCTTGACTCCTGCCCCCTGCAGTTCCCCATCAACAGCCCCCCAACTTCAGATGGCAAGGTGTGGGGTCCAAGCCTCCAGGCCAGCAAGTCCCACCCACCCCAAAGGGCAAGCCTCCAACCTGCTTTAGGGCCACGGCTACAGCAGCAATGGCATGGTTGTGGGGGCCACCCTGCAGAGATGGGAACACGGCAAAGTTGATTCGGTCCTCAAAGGTGTAAGGGATCTCCCGACCAGTCTTAGGGTCCACAGCCCGCACTCCCTTCCGGAAGAAGATGAGTCCTGACCTGTGTGGGAGGTGAATGGTCAGACTCTAGGCTGGAGATAAAGGACAAGGGATGGGGGAAGCAGAGAAAGCTGACTGGCCTGCCCCCCGAGGGCTCTCAGAATCTACCTATCGTGCTTGGTACACTGGATTCCGGTGGTAGAGGGGATCGGCCCCTCACTCCCACCCCCATATCCCCTGTCAGGGAACAGCCATCAAGGGCAAGAGAAGACTCATCGGAGGCTGGGCCGAAGTCTTCAAGCTGCAGGTGGGAGCGAATTCTTCTCAGGTCCAGCCCAACAATGTGCCGGGCATAGGGCACGAAAGAGGGAAAGGCAAGACCTGACCTCAGGGGAGCCTGACCTGGCCCCTCGAAGAGTCTTGTGAGTGGTGGTGGTGACAATGTCCGCATGCTTGAAAGGTGAGGGGATCACTTTGGCAGCCACCAGGCCACTGATGTGGGCCATGTCTGCCAGCAGGTGTGCCTTGACCTCATCACACACCTGGGCAGGTACAGAGACAGGCCTCAGCCTAGAGAGGGCCCAGACAGGCCTACCCAAGGCTGCGCCTCCTCCCGAATCTTCCCACCACCCCCTGGGGAGATCCTCGTCCTCCAGCTCTGCACCAACCTCCCTCATGCGGGCATAGTCAATGAGGCGTGCGTAGGCACTGGTACCAGCTATGATGAGCCGTGGTCGGAACAGTCGAGCAGTCAGTGCCAGCTGGTCATAGTCAATGAGGCCGGTTTGGGGCTGGACAGACAGATAAACAGATAAACAGCTGTCCTGAGAAGGAAGCAGGGCTGCGCACGTTCCTCCTCAACCCAGAGGGCCACCCACCCAGAGCCCTCGCCTTCCTGGGGCCTGAGAGAGACCCTCCCTACCCCCACTCCCACCTTCAAATGCCAGTTCTATTTCTATTTACTTATTTATTTATTTATATGTAAAATTTTACTATAGTGCTTGTGTGCTCACTGAAGAGATAGAGAAAGAGAAATTATCCCCCTAGAGGGATGGTCGTGCCGCCATTCCTTCTCCTCCATTCTCTTCTCAGGATTTTGAACACACACCCACACATGTGCCTGGTGTGCTTTTTAAGCTGTCAGGTCTAGGACTCAAACCATGTAGTCAGTCATACAGGAGCCAGCTGCTTTAACCACGCATGTCACCAGCGGGCCCCAAATGCCAGTTCTAGGGTCAAAGTTGAGATCAGTGTTCTAGAGTACTCACGTTGAGCTTATAGGGCATCGACTCAAAGAAGATGGATGTGGCTGAGATCCGCTTGACATCAGACATGTAGCCATGGGTGAGACTGGGAAGTGGAAGGCAGAGAGGAGGCCTTAGAGTGGAATAACCCCCAGACTGAACCACTCCCTTCCTGCCACATTCCAAAGTATCCAGTACCCCTGGAATACTGACTCTGGCACCCACCACCCTCCCGGCCCTGCCCACTCTGTGGTGGGCGCTGGTGTTACTGGGGTCTTCCTCCTCTTCTACGGGGATATGCAGGACAAGGACAGGCCCACTCTATCTGTACTGTGCATGGCAGATATTCAGTAAATAACTCGTCTCACAACGACACTGCCCACCCAGCCCGTCGCCCACCCTATTCACACTCACTGGCCCCCATCAGGCAGGTCAAGCCCCATGATTCGGTCGTGAGGCTGCAGAAGCGCTGTGTAGGCAGCCAGATTGGCTGGGGACCCTGAGTAGGGCTGGACGTTGACTCCCCACTGTGTGGGATCCAGGTCAAAGGCTTCCAGGGCCCGGCGCTGGCACAGCAACTCAATCTCGTCCACTACCTCCGCTCCCCCGTAGTATCTGCCACAGAGAGGAGTACATAAGGGCGCAGAAAAAGAGCTCAGGACTCTCTGCAAAGGATCAGAAGGTCACTCCTCTATAAACCCTGGGAGGGTCCAGGGAGGCTTCCCCCACTGGGAGCACCAGCCCTGTGTTGCCCTCCAGCCCTCTGGTGCCTAGCCCTCACCTCTTGCCAGGATAACCCTCCGAGTACTTGTTGTTCAGACAGGACCCCAGGGCCTCCAGCGCAGCTCGGCTGCAGAAGTTCTGGGGTGGTGGTGGGGACAACGTCAGAAGGTACCGAGCCCCTTCCCTTGGACCCCATAGCCCACCCTACCAGCACTTCAAAAGCTGTACAGAGGGTGGAGCTCCACTCAGGGTTCCTTGCCAATAGGCCAGGGACGGCATTTTCACAAACCCCATTGCCACAATCAGTGACCCCAGAAGGCCACCTGTCCACTCAGACTGGTACTTTCAGACTCTTCTTTCCAATTGGGAGGGAAGACGGGAAGAGATGTGGCTGTACTGGCTCCGGAAGCTCTCTAATGCCCCAACCCCTAAGCTGGACAGGCCCTGCCTTGGCTTCAGAGGACGCTAAAAAGAAAGGGAGATGAAGCCCTGCAAAAAAGCCCTGAGCCTGAAAGGGGGCGTTGGGGAAATATCTTGTGACTTCCTGCACCTATGGTGGCCCAGCACCTGCCCTCTCCCACCAAGTCCCACCTCTGAGGCAATGAGCTCCAGGCCACGACACTGCCTGTCCTTCTCCCTCTGCAGCAGCTCCCACATCTCAGGGTCACTGTCGGACAGGCTCTCCTGGCCGGTCCAGCCCCTGGTCACTTCCCCAGTCTGAGTCTGAGCCGCCTTGCTGTGTTGAGCCCGGATGGCTGTCCTGACCAGTTGGCCACATCTCCGAAGCGGCTAGGGCAGGAGAAACGAGGGTCCAATAAAAAGGGTCCAGACAGTCTCCCATCTCCCAGTCACCCTCAGCCACGCACACAAGGCCCTCTGGCTCCACAGTCTAGCCAGCCTGTTCTGTTCCCACCACCTCCACCTCCACTTTCAAATGCCAATCTAGAGCCACAAAGGTTGAGATCAATGTCCAGGGGGTGGTTCTGATGCGCTCCATTCGCCTCACCTCAGATTATCCCCCCCGCCTTGGCCCATGAAGTACTCTGCAGAGCCACAGGGCAAAGTTTATCCTCAGAAGTCTTTTTTCTCCCAACACAGAAGAGGCCCACTGAGATTCCAAAACCTTCCCACCCAGGGGTACAAAAGGGCCTTTTTGCACAGCTTCCAGAAACCGTAACTCTCCCAGAGGGGTTCGGGCCTCGGGCTGTAGAGACGGTTTCCAGAGCAATGGAGGTTGGAGGGTCATCTGTCCCA